CTCACAGCATCAAGGCTTAAATAATTTTGGCTTCAAAATCGGCATTTATCTTACCATATTTGGTAAATGCCAATTTTGGTAGAAATCAAATGTAGCCCGCATTTCGTATTTGAAAATATATACGGGAAAATATTTTCAGAACAACGGGCAATTGTAAATAGGAAATTCAATTGTTTAATTAAAATTTTGAAAATATTTTACTAGTCAGGTTTAAGCCTGGTTTAAAAGATGTGGCAAAAACAACCTCACGAACCAAATATGAAAACGAGTTCAATCGAACCATAATACAGACCTGAATAAATGCATATATGTTTATATTTTAATGCTAACAAACTTAATTGAATTTAAATATAAATAATAAAAATATTAATTATAAAAAAATATTGAAAAAAATCAGCTAAGCTAAAAGAAAAAACTATAGAACTTAAGCTGCTCAAATAAAAAGAGGTACAAGTTATATTATAAAAGTCGCAATATTTCCATTTATTTTAACTAAAAAACTTCAAAAGGTTTTGTGTTTTTAAAGGCGCACAAGGAAATCATATTTTCATATGTTTGACGAATGGGAGTTGCATTAAAAATAAATCCTTCAAAGGCATTTTCAAGGCTCTGCAAAAATTCAAAATTAGAAGTGCTCTAGTAATTCATAAAAGGGTGAGTCCTTCAGTTTTTTAATCGTAAAAAAAGGAACTGTAGTTGGCATTGCTCGGTTCAACTTTGACCATTTTAATTGCGCTTAGTTAGCGACAAATGCAACACAAACAACCGCAGCGAGCGGCACTTGCAGCAACATGCAACAAAAATATCAAAAAAGGGAAAATTGCAAAAAAAAAAACCAAATATTTTTAATTAGAGCCCGCAAAGACAAGCTATACGTATATGCATATATGTATGTGATATCAGGCCTTGCAATTAACTTTGGCAGTGCATCAGAGGCAGAGTGGGTATGGGACTATCTTGAGGGGAGGCGGGGCTGGGCTGAGCAGAAGTTGGGCGCCAACGCTTTCACTTGGCGAAAGATCAAAGGGATGCAGCTAGCGAGCATATGCAAACAATGGCCGCTTCATAGAGAGCTCCAAACTGCAAGCTGGAAGCTACTTCAGCTGCATAAAAAACAAGCGAGCGCTTAAAATGCAACTGCAACAACATCAACAACAACAGCAACAACAACAATAACAAATGGCAGCAAGCGCTCAACAAACGCGGCTCAACTTTAGATGAAGGCATAAACTGCTAGAGAGGGGCTTAAAGAGCAGAGAGAGAGAGAGAGAGAGAGAGGGACATAAGTGAATGAAAAATTTTCATGAATGGAATCCAACTGGCAGATAAAAGCCCCAGTGGAAACCCATAAATACAGGTAGTCGCATTTTGAATGGCTGGGTAAACGATGCCAAGTTGAACGTGCGGCAAGGGGTTGGGAGGATGGGGTGGGGGGGTGTTGCATCGTTGCGGAGCCTAAGTGAATTGCCGTTTGGCACAGGACCACAGACAACATGACAATGCCAAACACAACTCGAATCCTCGACTCGACTCGGCTCGAATCCTCGACTCGACTGCTCGACTTCTAGTGGAGCCCGATGCCTGGGACTCTATTGCATTGTTTAGTTGCAAAAGTCCCTGGCAAAAAGCCTTTGATTTATGGCATGTGCGTTTTAATTTTGATTGTATTTGCCATGCGAGGCAGCTCTCTCTCTCTGTGTGTGTGTGTGTGCCGCAGGTACAGTTGCAGCATTAATTGGTCAGCAATCAACGAAAAAGTTGTTGCATACTTTTGCGATGAGTCTGCGAAAGAAGGAGACAGAGAAAATGCTGCAGGCGGCAAATTTGAGATGGGGAGAGCGCGTGGAAGACAGAGAGAGTTGAGAGAATTCTGATACGTACATATTTTATCTGTTTTTTAATTTATTTAAATTTTATTATAAAAAAGAGTCCTGTCAACTATAACGGCTAGCTTAAGCTAGGGGAAGGTTTGATAGTTTCAGCTATTTAGACCAAGGTGCAGAGAAATTAAATTAATTATATGTATTATTTCTAAGTAATTTTTGCGATTTTAAAATTGACAATGATTTTAGATAGATCCTGCGGAGCTCTATTTTGATTAAAAGAATAATCTGAATATAAGAATGAATTAATATGAATACAACCTGAAATATTTCTTTTATCTAAAGAATCTTCCAAAAAATCGTTTGATAATAAAACCTAAAACCAACTCAACTTTCCTCTTAATTCAAGTCTAGTTAGTCAGTCTGCCCAGAACATTTTATTGTAAAGCTCAACTCTGCAGTTAATTCTCTTTTCTCAAGTCAGATCTAGTTAGGAAATCCTGTGGATCTCTAATCCGAATGGAAATATCTCTTTAAATAATCTTTCAAAAAAACTTTAAAGCCTAATAATAACCGTTATTTCCTCTTTAGGTATATCTAGTTATCAAATGTTGCAGTCCGCTCAGAACATTTTATTAAAAAACTCAACTCTTTTCTCTCAAGTCAGAACTAGTTGTGGAATTTTAGTCGACATCTCCCGACTGCACAATACTCTGTTGCCAGAACAGTTGCAAAGGCTATGTAGGCATATGTTTAACAGGAATAATTCCCTCGCTTCAACAGTTTCGTACAACCAAGCATAATTAACGAATATACTCTTCTTAGCTTTAGAAGCAGAGAATACAAAGGCGACAAGTCGCAACCGTAAACAACATTTTCCACAAATCTCATGTTAATTTTTGTGGAAAATGCAACACAAGAGCTGCTGCAAGTGCAACACAACATGACGGCCGGAGGGGCTGGTGCCTTGCATAGATATGCACGCGAGGCTATCAGCTAAGGGCGCAAGCACACACACACACACACGCTCACACACACACACACGCTCACACACACACACACGCTCTCCCATGCAAGCGCCACAAATTGCGGCAAAGTGCATTTTTCACAAGACAAAACGAGAGCCGAGCGCAGTGGCAAAAGCAACGAGAGATGCAATCTCAAGTGGTTATCTCTTCTGCATATAGAAGAGAGTGTGCGAGGGGGGGGGGTGAAGGAGGGTGGGAGAGGGTTAGGGAGCAGATGCACTCCTCAGCGTCCTGACAAAGTCAACATCAAAGTTCACGCCGACAAAGCGTTGCGAGTAAATGTTTAATGAGCGAAGTGTGTGGGGCGCTGGAGGGACGAGCGGGAATGGGTGGAGGGAGGGGGGGGGGGGGGTAGTCATCATGTAGTTTAGGGAAAGCGGCAAGGGAGCACAGCAGCTGGAGCAGCTGGATCAGAGCGCAGAACGACGACTCCTTCAAGCCGGGTCGCATGCCAATTAAAACAAAAGCCAAAAAACAAATGCACTTGAAGTGCGGTAGCTGGGATGGAAATGGAAGCCTGGTAGCTGGACGAGCTGCTGGCGCAGCTCCAGCACGTTTCGCAGTGTCAAAGGCGGGCCTACCACGTGAAGTGTTTGGCAACATTGTTTGACTGCCTACAGCCTACTGCCTACTCCCAGCCATGTGCGCGCTCCAAGCAACAGTTCGTCTTTGAAGTCAAAAGGATTGGGGTTGGGCTACTGTAAATTAGCCACTCCTGAGGCGCAGGGAGCTGAGCGAAAGTGCAGCCGGAGCAAAGGAAGCAGCTGCTACAAAGTCAAAAAGGCGACAGCTCTGGGCCACAATATGTTGCAGCTAATCAAATGTAGGAAGCTGCAATGAGAGAGGGGCAAGAACTCAAGCTCTTCTAATAGGATAAGCCGATTGGCTAATGAAAATGGAAAAACATATTAGAGATTTTTTAGACATATTAAGGCCATCTAGCTTCTATAAAAACCAAGGATTTATTTTCCAGAAAATGTCTTTGTTTTTCGATCTTAACAAAGCCAATCCTGAGTATGGAAGCTATACGATATAGTGGGCTGATACTGAGAAGACTTTGCATGTATGTAAGGAGCTAAGCGGAACGAGATAATGTCATATTTGGTTAAGATACATGAAACGATCTTTTGATCTAAAAGTCTGTGCCTTAGTCGTTGATCCACAGATTTAAATAATGATTGGCGCGTATTACATGAATCTATATGTATAGTCCATTTATTGTTTTTATACCTTTCTTCTTTGTCGAAACTCTTCTGAATTTCTAAAGCCAAAGTTATGTTAAAACTGTTTAAAAAAAAACACATTCTTGTAATTTTAATAACTCTTCGACTTCAAGTTAAGGCGCACAAATTGTATAGTTATTTGTGCGTATTGCGATCATCAAAAATACATTTATAAAATCCCCTTGAAACATTATTTTATAAAACCGCTCAGCCGTAAAAATGTATAAATAAGAAATGAACAAATTGACCAAACACAAACAAGTACGAAAGTTCGAGTCGGAAGTGCCCGACTGGCAAATACTCTAACCCTTCTTCTTCCACCAAAACCAAGCTAAAGCTTTAGCAAAGACATATACTTGATCTGTAATTACTATTCTAGAAGCTACATCTCAAATTTGGTGACAGCAGCTCATCAAACTTAAGAGATAAGCTCAAAAAAACGGAGTTTGATATATCGATTCTTATTGATTGCTTGGAAACGAGGCAAGTTATCGATTATCGGTCCTGGGAGGACCTACATTTCAAATTTCAAGTCTTAAGCTCTTATAGGTTCTGAGATAGACGGGTTTATACATACGGACAGACGGACGGGCAGACAGGCAGATAGACAGACAGACGTATAGAAAGACAGACGGACAGACATGGACACGGACATGGCTAGATCAACTCGGCTATCGATGAATATCTTAACATATATACTTCATGGGGAGATGCTTCCTTCTGCCTGTAACAACACTTGAACAAGACCATTTTAACCTTTGTACCCATTTTACCCAATGAGTACGGGGTAGAATTCCAGTGCTCAACAACTTTGTCATGAATTTTGTTTGGAAACCAAGCAACATGGCAATCGTTGCCCCAAATGCTTTCTAGCTTTCATCTGAAATATAACTTTTCCATACATCTCACATAAGGCAGTTGCTACAACAACTGAATAATCTCAGTGTATATTCAGCATTCATAGCACAGCACTCATATATTTTAAATACTTCGGAAAAGCAGTTACAGAAAAAAATAAATAAAAATAAACGAAACACACAGCTGGAGTATTCGTTGACTTAAATTTTGCCATTTTTCGTCGGTTTGAACGTTAATAACAATTTTATATTTATTTAGTACGTGTACTAAACTACATACCGGTAAAAAAAAAGCAACAACAACAAAAAATTCCCAAAAAGCAAAAGCCTTAAATTTTCGGTACATTTCATTTTGTGTTTAAACTACAAAACCAACTCGTATCTAAATTGGTATTAAAAATCAACAATGAACGGTGAGCTATAAATTCTTTATATTGACTTAACATAACTAAGCTTTAAATGATTGAAAGATTCACAAGCTTTCAATCAAAATAACGCTGAGAACAGCTCCGATATGAGCGACAAGATGTCGGAGCCAAAATATGAGACCAACGACCAAGCATCGAATTGCTCACGCAATCCCATAACCGGCATGGGCTTGAATGGAGACGGTGTCGGTGGTCTGAAGCCCAAAATAGCCAAGAACCGAGGTGCGTATTTGGACTCGAATTTACTGAATTATCTATAACACCTCTCTCAACAGCTGGCAATCCGGTGACAGGCGAGGGCTACAAAACTGGTCACACTGATATGGAAGTGCTCCGAAAAATTAGTCGTCGACCAGGTCCATTTTCCTAAGCAGCTCGATCAATTGGTTTTACTTGCCACAAGAAGACGCCCAGCATTAGCTCCATGTCGAGTTGCCATTGTTTAACCACACGACGCTGTTTTCCATTTTAATTATACAATTTTGCAGCTCGATATTGCGACTACTCGGATTTGTGGTTTATTTCAAGGCTGCTTTTGAACCGAACCTGGTTCAAAGCCGCAATTTCCGTTTACTTTTAGCTATGAACCAAAACCGAACAACAAACAAGTTCCCCAAAAGAACACCTGAACCGAACCACTTTTTGTAGAAATTTAATTGGAATGTCGATTTCAATAATGCTTTGGCTTTAAATAAAAAAAATTTGAGGGAGATCCAGCTTCAAACATAAAGCGCGTTTCATAAATATCTACTTTGGGTAAAAATAAAACTTTAGTACGCACTATTTATCTGCCAGGTTCGTGAACCAAATCTAGAAGCAGCGGGCGAGCCCTGGTTCTTGACTTTGAATGGGGCTTGGGTATGAACCGAACCAACTAGTTCAGCTCCCTTAAACCATATTTGCAATCTTTCCAATGTTTTAAATGCTTCGACCGATTGAAAAATACATTAAATGTTCAAATGTGTAAGCCAAAATCTGGGTTAAGGGATGCGTAAGACTAGGTGCATGAGCCGAAACCAAAGGCAGCAGGGTTTCGCAGTATACGCCGAACCAGCGACAGTAGCATGCAGCCCTGGTTCCGAAACTTTGATTGGAGCTTTGGTATGAAACGAACCACTTTGTAGAAAATTGGAATATCAGTTAATTTTACATTAATAGTTCAGCTTCCATTAAAAACTGTTGAGGGAGAAGCAGCTCCAAGCCAATAACATTTGAATATCTTGTAATATCTTGAGTATCTTGAATATCTTGATTGTAAAGTACATTAAAAATATTTAAATATGTGAACCAAAGGGAACGGTGATTCTAACCGAGAACTGAACCGGTGGCAGTATTGGTTGCCAGGCTCATTTCTTAACCTTGATTTATATGAAACACTTTCGTAAAAAATTGGAATGCTTTTTTTTTAAAAATAGTTAAGCTTCGAAAAAGAAAACTTTTTGATGGAGATCCAGCCTCAAGGCATATTTGCATAACTTGTCGATGCTTTATGCGATTGTAAAATACATATAAAAATGTTAAAATATGTGAACCAAGTTCTGGGTTGAAGGATGTGTAAAATCAGGTTAGTGAACCGAACCGAAGGTTGCGGTGTAATTCGAACCGTGAACTAAACCGGCGACAACTTTCAGCCCTGGTTTTTAGACTTTAATTGGAGCTTGGAGTATGAATAAGGGCTTAACTATATGTGGTATTTTTTAAAGAATTTAATTCTGGTTATTAGTTTATTGTCTAACGCGGCATTTGAACAATTCCCACCCCAGTTTCCTCTCTTATTTTTTCGCCAGCTTTTAATTACGCCCAGCTGACAGCACAGCTACCCATAACAAGCGTTGGAGGAGCTTAGGAACTGGGCAACCGACGATATGTGACAGCCATTTAATTTGATTTATGGCCAGTGAATAGTCTTGATTAGAACGCGCCCGCCCAAGCATGGGATTACAGAGCGCAGGCGGCAAGTGTGAGCGAAGCGAATTTAACTCAATTTCACATAAATCAAAAAATGTTGCCATCACACCGAAAGGCGCCCAGAAAACACAGCCAGCCCCGGAGCGATGTGTGTGTGGGTCCATACCCAACCCCAACGAACACCTTGGCGCTAATCGTATTTCAATTGTTCAAACGAATTGCGAATTGCGAATTGAATGAAGTGCTGAAATTTGAGTGTGTGTGTGTGTCTATCAATTCCCTCATGTGTGTGTGTCTCGGAGTTTACTAGTCGCTCTCGCTGTCAATGGGATTACCGAGGCAGCTACAAGTTCATAAAAGTAACGCTCACGATGCCAACAATGAGCGAATTTAGGTGTCAAACGGCAGGTGGCAATGGCAGCAGGCAAAGCCGAAGCGGAAGTGCCCAACGTTTGCCCAGAACTATGGCGGGAGGCGGGACAGGAGCTGGGACAGGGGCTGGGACAGGAGCTGCGGCTGGAGTTGGGGCTGGTACTGGGTGGCTAGGGGATTTGGGGACTGGGATGCGTCAGAGACAGATGATATCTTAAACACCACACACACGCACAACCAGTCAGCTACACAATCACACATGACTACACACACACACAGAGAAAGAGAGAGAGGAAGAGAGAGAGAGAGAGAACGAATGTTATCAGAAAAGCAAGCGCCCGGGCTGCTGTTGTACAATTTTTGACATGGGTCCCCAAACAAACGCCAAACAAAGGGCCAACACAATCGTGTTGGGGTTTGGGTTTTTTGTCGGGATCTGACGATATGGAGGACAGTGTGTGTGCGTGTACGTGTGTGTGTGTGTGTGTGTGTATTGGCAAACCGCAAGAACATCAACTGATGGCAGATAAATTAAATTTTGCGGTTCTAAATGGGCAATCAATGAGGCGTTCTTCTGGCTAGCAAAAGGTAGTCCTTTTTACCTATCAAATAGTAAAATTTAAAAATTTAACAAACGACAGCCAATAAGTTCTCCCCACACACACATACACGCACACACCCATGCACACACCCACGCACATGCTGCTTTAGAAAGTCGCAATTCTCTCAGCTTTCGTTTGAAATTTTCGCTGCATTTTCACTTTGTCAAGTTGCGACTGTGGCAAGTTCAAAGGCAACGCCAGAAACGCCCCGCCTAGACAAAGACCTTAGTCGCTAGTCAGTTGCCAGCCTCAGGTTCGCAAGCTCCCACCAGAGACTTAGTCCAAACTCTTTCCAGCTGTTGCCAGAACAGAAACAAGTAAAAGTGTTGTCTGTCGAGCGTGCCCGACTCGGAGATACTGCTTCTCTTCCCCAAGACTCACAATATGGGCAATGCGTTCTGGAAGAGAGCTTAAATAAGGCACGAAAAGGCGTGTGGTATGGCCGAAGGCTATATCTATATATATATATTTATATACAATTTTTCGGGGAGGTATCTTAAAAGATAAATATCCTGGACATTTGCGAATAATCTATTAGAATCTTCCTTTATGCTTAAAAATACAAGACTCAAAATCGATATATATCGATGCAATGAAAATAACGAGAAATATCGAAAATATATCATATATCTATCAAGTTCCGTCTCTAGCTATTGAAGTTTTCGAGACAACTTCGTACAAGTTCGAGTTTCTGTGTGTTACATACCTATGCACAAAACGCATATACCCTTCTTACACATTTCCACAGGGCTTACGGTAGAAAAAAGTTGTTAGCGAAACTTTTGCTCGCCCTCAAATATTGACTTAAGCAGCGCGGCACTCGATGACTCAAGCACCTCAATTGTAAGGGGTCCAGGTCTGGTCCTTCGACTGAGGTGTTCTGGGTGTGAGTGCGTGTACAGTTGACACCTTGATGCCGTTAAGTGTGTGTGTGTGTGTATGGGTGTGTGTGTGTGCCTGCTTATTGGTATTTATTTGGATGCCTGCACGCCTAATCAAACAGACATCTCTGATACTTGACAATAGGAAATGAGAAGCACTTGCCATATACACGTAATTTTCTATTCAATATACCGAAACGAGCAGGTTGCCCTTAAGGTCTAAGCTTTAACGGACAAGGTTATGATATTTGAAAGACAGCAATACTATATACAAGCAAGTTATATACATATATATTCTTGATCTGCCTTCCCGGCTGTCAAACTGTCTTCTGTCCCTCAGTTTACCTGCTCTGCTTTTCTATTACAGGCCGTATATATGTATGTCGGAGCTAGCCGGATCGAACAAATGTATCATGTAGAAGGAAAGACGGATATATGCAAAGGTTAAAAAAGATAGCTGCAAGACCGAGAGACTAGTTCAAAGTTAAACAGACAGACGGCCTTTCATTACAAAATTATAATACCCTCTAAGAGGGTATAAAAATACAATATTAATACTAAAACAGATTTGTAAATACAGCTTTTAACACATAATTAGCTTGGTCTAGAGGCTAGACAAAGTGTTCGCCCCGTTTTTATGAGTGGGTCAATATAACTTGAAATGTTATTTGCAATTGGCCGATTGAAGGGTCTCTTCAAACCAATCTCAGTCAGGTTTATGCCATTTCAATGGACCACACGACAGCAAGATATTTATTAATTAACCATTATCGGCGACTGGACCGGCCGGACTGAGCGCTGCTCATTGATGATAAATGGATGTCTGAAGTCTGAAGTGCAATTTGCATGCGAGTTTTTAAATCAGCAGCAGTCGCCATTGAGGCCGGCGAGACAAAAAAAACACACACACACACACATGGAACAGGTCCGGCCCGGAGGAGCAGAAGCAGGAGCCGGAGCCGACGTTGATGAGCATCATTATGGTAAGTGCGGAGCGCTGTACATGACATGGATGGATGTCCAATGGGGTTGACAATTATGTCAGACGATGGCAGCATTATTGCCTGCTGGCTGTCCGGGATTAACGCCATTTTAATTGAATTTTAATATTTCACACACGACTCGAAAAACCCCGAACCCGGAAATGTGGCGAGCTGCCGGCGGCGGGGCTTTGAATTTGCACAAAAACCGCAAGTAAACGGGCTGCCCACGACTATCGAGTGGTCGGCCGGGCCAATGAAATAGCCATTATGAAAATCTGTCAACTGACATGAATGGGCCACAGGCGTGCATTAAATTCACAATTGGCTGGCTTTCGGCTTTAAAGGCAATCCATAAATAGGACAATTGTTGTTCAGGTCCATAATAAACAAATGCAATAACTATCGATATTCGATATTCGATAGGCAGCGTGTCGTGCTTAAGCTTGCCAGTGTTGCACAACGGAATCTTGTGGCACAGCTTTTCGAAAATCGCACTGCTGTAATAAATAATTTAATAGAACTCATCAAAAATGTAAGTTAATCCAATGTAAAACTGACCAAACCAGCTCTGATCTCAGCCAAAAATCGTTATAGAGAACCACAAAAAGCGCAGGATGTCGAATTACAATCCAGATCTAATGCAACAGCGACTCACAACCGACCAGCGCATCCAGATGCTGGAGCTGGAAATTGAGAAACTGGCGAGAGACGTTCAAGCCTACAAGGAGCAGAACAGCAGGACGGCCGGCCATAGGGATATTATGCTTATGGCCGATTCGGAGGATGAGATAATTGACATTGGTGACGAACTGACAGATTTTCAAAATGTCGAACAAGCGGAGTTCGTAAAGCGATTGCTTTGCCCCGAAAGCTTTCCCGATCATTTAGTCTGAGCAGCAGACTTGAAGCTTGAATCATATGGATAAGGGAATTTTTGTTTTAAATAAGTACAAAATGATATATGGATATGCAGCTGTACATTGC